TTAGGGTGGCATGGAAATCAAATGGGGTGTCAATGTCGTGTGGTATCTGAGAGTATGAACCCAAGATGCTTGCAAAGGCTGTGATGCGAGTGAGCTTTATTTACAGGAGTGGCAATGTGGCAAAAACAGGAAATGCAGAATGGGGAGCTACCAAAACCTAGACCGAGGAAAACTTATGAAGTCACCTGAAAACCATAAGGACACGGGATGATGAGCAGGGATGGCACAGAGAATGTAGAGCAGAGAGCTGACGATTTTTGTACAACCTTTTAAAACTATGAAAACTAAAATGAGAGACCAATCAGGTGTCACAATATTTATTTGTGCGAGTGCAAAAAATAGTTTGTCCGCACAAAAGAGAGAGAAGAACACCACCTGCAGATAAAACCTGCAGGCCTGACAGGAGGTGTATCACTCATCCTGTTTCCCACCTGGAGACAGTGTTTACATTGCAGTCTGCCTTTGGTGGCTTTTTGGCAGCAGCTGTTACATTCACTATAGTACCCTCACTGACACACAGAACAAAACAAGGCCCACACAACACACTAACTACCAGTGTAGGGACTAACGCGTTATTCTGTTTCAGCCTCAACCCACCTCCTGCTTCTTTTCTCTCTTTCTGTCTCTTTGCTTTTCATATTCCACACAGATAATATCATGAAAACAAGATTAAAAGATGAGCCTACAAAGAGTGGATAGTGCCATAGTGCTCCTCTTGTGAAAGAAAATGTGTTTGCATGACAAAGCATTCAGTCTATGATTCGGTTTGTTAGAACAGTTTTCTTAAAAAAAGGCCATGGAAGTGTAACATAGTTAAATAGAGTTCAAGTTAAATCCCGCTAAATGGGACATTGGCACCACCTACTGTTGCAAAAGTCACCCTGCAATATTTACAAAGGGTAAGAAATTCTGGGTAATCCTCAGAGCAGTGGAGGATTCTCGTAGAGGTAAGGAATGTGCAAATGTCGTGGACAAAACAATCATGTTACTGTAACAGTAATATTAGTTGATCCAGTTATTTTTGGTGTCCCAGCGCTCTGAGTATAGTTTTGTATTCAGTTCATGTTAGATTTGTGATTATAGTTCTTGTGTTATTCATATTTAGCTTTTAGTTAAGGTTAAGATCATGTTTAAACTCACAAAGGAGCATTTCCTTCCTTCTGTAAATCACTAGTGTTCTTCAATCAGGAGAAAGCATCTCACAATTTGACTCTTAACCACTAAATCTATTGTGTCATCACAGGTTGGTCATACCAGTCTCTTTTTTTCCTTTCTTCTTTGAAGTTATTGTCCTGCAACCCAGAGAGTTTATTTGTTAGTAATGGATAAACTTCACCATTTAACAACAGGTGTATGTTAGGTTTCCCTGTTTTAACCTTGCTGAAAAATCTTCACGTGTTCATGAGTGTAAGCTGCTTTTTCATTGCGTGTGTGTGTATTTGTAGGCGGGTTAATTTTAACTTTTTTCTCAAACAAGGCGTTTCCTTAAAAGAAGCCTTTCTCTCACATTTCTCTGCTTGTATGCGTGTTTTTGTTTCACCTTTTGTTGCGATGCTCCGGACGCCTTCCCAACCTCCACAAGTCCGTTGGCCCAAAATCCAACCCAATTTTTTCTTAAAGCTTTAGTTTCTCCTCTAATTCTCTCCTCGCTCTATCTCAATGCGGCTCCAAATTACTCCCCAAATTTTGACTAATCTAGAACTCAACCTTTGATCCCAAAATGTGTCTTGTTCTAGTCCAGAATAAATGTGAACCCGTGATTACACAGCAGTTCCAGTGTTATTCTGTTATCGTTTGAGGACCCTCAGCTCTCCGGTGATAAGCCTGGACCTCCAGACGTCGCTGGTCCGTACGCCGCGTCCAACGTACGGTGGGGGAGCCAACCCCAGGGCAAAATTTATTTTCACAGGTCCACTAGGCGTCAACCTTGGATCCTAAAATGTGTCTCCGCTCTAGTGTCCTCCAATTCACACATTAACCAGTCACTGTCACCATGGTCATTTCATACAATGAAACACACAAAAAGCGTGTCTCACGAGCAGAAACACACACACCCTCTGAGCTCAACTTAGAAATAATTCAAAGCGTAACCGCACCACAAGCCAGCCTCTATTTCACCTATATTTCATATGCTGACCTTTTGGCCGCAACTTAGAAATTTTCTACTATCTTATTGCCACAGAAGCCAGTCTTAAACAAAGTTAAATGTGGAAGGTAACGTGGGCTGCAACTAGACTCAACGTAGTATGTTATTAGTTTCTTGCTAGAGGCAGTTCCTATGACCCACTGGAATTCAGCCTCAACTTATGATGTTAGTATCTCGAAAACATTTATCGAAAATACGTGTAACTCAGCGAACAGATTAATTTAGAATATCCAATATGCACATTTGGAATTTAAAATACAACAGGCTGTGCTTATCCTTTTATATTTGGACCGGTCCTCTGCTCGCCTCGCCTCACGCTCTCACCACAGGCCAAATCTGCCTTCCTCAGCACACCAAAGATCCGGGTCACAAGGCACCAAATTGTTAAATCCTCCCGATTCTTTCGATCTTTGGGCTAAAGGAAGGACGATACTCGGTGTATAAATGCTCAATCAACAATTACTTTATTACACACAATTCAACACTTTTGAGCAGAAACCATCTGGATGGGGAGACATGCATGCAGAGGGTCACAGCAAATCTCCAACTGGTGGAGGGTGACTCAGCCTCTTATAGCCTCTAGTGGCCTCCACTTAGTCGTAAAAACCTAAACATTCACATTCTTTATCTCTCTGCAGTATGTTCTGTTCTTTTCTAATCAGACAAATAAGGCCATGACTCTCCGAAAACAGTATTTCTTATCACTCAGCAGTATAATGCATCATAGACAATATCATTCATTCGCAATAAATCAGAAGTCTACAGCAGATACAAATCAGTTTAACAAATGTAATAGTTATCACCTTCTCCTAATTCAGGAGAATAATGCAAACTAAAACTACATAATAATTTCACAATCTTTAATTAGGGGTGTAACATAGCATAAGATAATATAATAATCCCACAAACCCTTTCCACAATAAGGCACTTGCAAACAAACACATTTCTACTGCACCATTTGTCTTAGATTGGCCTCTTTTAAGGATCAATTATGTGTGCCATTAAAACGTATTAAATCACTGTGATTAGGCAGGAGAAATAATGAAGAACATGACTTCCTTTACTAGATTTTAGAACAAACATTTTTAACAAATCAAAGGGCACAGGAAACATTTTGAGAAACATTATGAGACAGGAAACATCTTGAATGAAATCAAAGGGATCATCTTCATCACTTCTGCAAATTCAGTCTTTTTCTTTTTAAACCACAGAACATCTGGTTGGTTTTGTAATTAGCTAACGTATATTCAAATGTTACACTAAATTTGTACTATGGTGAGCTTATTGTAAAACATAAAAAGTAACAAAGAGGAACATCAGATACCAACACGAACAGGAAGCAGCTGGTGTGTGGGTAAACTGGTGTCCATGGTGACAGTTACAAGGTAAACAAGCTGTTTGAAGTTAGTGCTGAAACTGAATGTGATTGGATAATGCTTGGTCAAAACAATGCATTGTTGTCAGACAACAGCCAATGGGCTGCAAGGGGACTGTTAATGCAAATGGAACAGTTTAATTGTTTAAAACATCAAAAGCACCTCCATCTTTCTTAGAAAAAAAGGAAATTTGTTCTGCTGCTCATATAATTGTGACCTGTGTATTTGCTGTTACCAACACCAACCACTAATATTGCCTATATTATATGTAGCCTCACCGGATACAAGTACTGGAGTTCTTAATGTGCAGTCTTTTATTATCAGTGAAGACGTCCCCATCTTGTCCAAAACGTGTGTGTGTGTGTGTGTGTGTGGATATTTATCTATATCTCTATATCGCTATATATTTTTTAAACAATCAAATCAAATAATAAGAAAACTACAAAAACAAACAAACAAAAAAACCAAGTGAAAGCTAAAGTACTTCATTACTCTGGTACAGTTTTTGTATGCATGCTAAACCCAGTCAGTTTGTGTTCTCGTGCTTGGGTTGGTGGGTTGACTGCTTGAGTTTTCCAAGCTCTCAGTGATGACTTCACGGCAGACACATACAGGTTCACATTATGTAGCAGTCCACTGCTGGATGTACAGTTTTAATTTCTTTAGACTTTCATATTTATTCAAAAAACTGAGGTAGCAGACTTATTTCTTCCTGTGCAGTCATGAAAAAAAAGTCTAAAAAGCACAATTTTAACATTATTGCATATTAAATAACTTAGAGAAATAGGTAAGAGATGGATTGGAGATCTAGGTTCACCAATTCTATGTAATACTGTAATTTTCTGCTGCTCATTCCTGTGCAATATCCCATCTGCCCTCCCGTCATATTTCTTTTCAAGATTTTCTTATTTAATCACTAGTGTACATATATTTATATTTATAGATACATATATATATATTTAGTCATCTTTTCTCTTTTACCATGTCTCTCTAATATTTTGCTCCTTACTATTTTCTATTTTCTTTATTATTTTATTTTATTTTATTATATTTTCTCCTACTGTATCATGCTGCTGAGTGACTGCTGCTCGTCAAACACATTTCATTGCAATGTTGACCCTGTGCTAACTTGCATATGACAAATAAAACTGAAAACTGAAAACTATGTTCCCCCCAAAAATCATGTAGCAGTCCAATTTTGCCATCTTTGCGTAAAATGACACCACATTAGCTATCAAAACAATGTCACGGGAACAATGTGCTATTATCAGAGCTTAAGGTGGACCAACAAAATATCAAATGGTATGACTTTTTTTTGCAGAAGAATTTATTTTGATGAATATTTTGTATTTACAGCACTCAGTTTGCATATTTATTAATGTGAAAGCTGAATTGTCAATAGGCAACAGACACAATAAAGCATAATAAAAAAATTCTTTAGATTTATCATTACAAACAGCAACAACACAGAATGGACGCTTTACATAGTCTGACAAAGACTGTATAAAGAGAGACTGGGCCTCTGGTGCAGGAAGCTGCAAAGGAAAAGGAGGTCTGGGTGTCTCTGCTTAGACTGCTGCACCCAACACCTGAACCCAGGTAAGCTTCAGAAACTGGACTGCTGGATGGGCATGATTTCTTGTGGTCACTTGCATTGATTCTTTAGCTGCCTCTCTTAATCCTCTTTCAAGAGGTTTCATTAAATAATGGTTCGCTGTCTCTGATCTCTATCGGACAGAAAAAACATTTTTGTCAGAAAACAAATTGTGTCTATAAAGAACAAAGTTATTACAGTAAGAACTAGACTGAAAACTAAACTTGGGTCTTAACAGAATCAAATTAAACCGGACTTGAAAAATTAAAACAATTAAAATAAAACACAATACACACACAACCCGAGGAATCGTTAGTTTTTACTGGGACAAAATTGTACTTATAGCCTGTTCTTACTTCTGGGCCCGATTCCAGGCAGTGTGTGCAACAAACAGAGTTCTGACTTTGTTCACTGAGGAATTGAACAGATGGTGATGTTTAATTGAAAAAAACAGCAATAGGAGATTAAAAGCTTTATTTAACAGCCACTGTGAGCAGATCTAAAATCTGATCTGGATGGGAAAAGACCAGAATGACCAGAATCAGAACTGCATCTGAGCCTGATTTAGTCTGAATTAATGATTGTTATTCATGTTCTTGCTATGCAATTGGCCTGTGAGTGACCATTTAGGTGATTTTCAGTGAAAGATATTGAGGTACAGCCCAAATTTTTAAAAACTGCAGCATTAAAATTGTTGTTTAACATAATTTAAATGACTGAATGTCTTTCTGTGAACAAGTTCCTACTTGAAATGTTCAGGACACAGACAGTCTGCATTTAAAAATCCCCTTTAGACTACATCTAATCCCATTTTAGATTTTTAAAGTAATTTAGGGCTCGTTTTCACTCAGATATTCACATCGTCACGTATCCATCCAACACATGACTCATCAGTTTGTTATGTGTCTAAAGCTTCATACAGAGAAGTTTAACCCATATATACTATTCAGGTTGAATTTGACCCATTTTGACATTTAACAGCAGCAAACACCCTAAATTTCATTTTTTTAACTTGAAATTTGATTACTTGAAGTGACCCAAAATACATAAACAATAAATTATTTAAAACTTTTATACTTTTATTTGTTTTTCCAAATACTACATTTTTTTTTTACATTGAGGCTGTGCCAGTCAAATTTTACCTGTAGCTACTGAGATACTGAGTTTGGGTCAAATAAAGGAAAATACAGTTTACAAATTTTACGGAATCATGAAACTGTGAAACTCTACATCCACAAAGTTCAAGGGGACAGGGAGCAGAAGGTGCCTTGACATGGACTGGAGATCTGAGACAGGCTGGCAGGGCGTCGCAGTAGTTAGCACTGTCACCTCACAGGAGCAAGATTCAAACGTGGCTGCGGCCTTTCTGTGTGGAGTTTGTCTGTTTGGACAACTCCAGAATACATCGGTTCTCTGACTTCTTTCCACAATACAAAAACACTATAAAGTGGTTAAATTGAACTCTAATTATTAAAAAGTGTAACGTTAAAATGAGTTCATCCTTCATTAATTCAAATAGGATGATAAATACGCTGGTTCACCACTTATTGCTTTTATTGAATAAACTATAAATTTCTAATAACAGATCAGTTTAAAGTTCATGTCTAAGCTGAATCACAGCTTTTGGCTCAGTTTAGAAATTTACTGTCTGTTGTGTCATTATGATAGTTTTGTAAATGTAAAACCAGCAAAAAATAAGCACTTGATATGCAACAGTTTTAGTGAAGACAGGTACAGCAGAGACCTCGGGGGGCAAATGTGCAGATCACCGTCTTCACATCACTGAAGAAACATAATGAAGTGTCTGGTTTTTTGAATTATCACAGTAAAAGGGAAGTTAAGTGATGTCAAGAAAGCTGTAAGGTGAAATGAGGATTGTGGGTGTATTTACCTCGTGACAGTGCTTGAAGTTCATACTTTTGTGCCTGCAAAATAATGTTATGAATGAATAAAAAAATGTGCTCTTTCAGTGATTGAGTCTGACGCCCCTGACTGAGTCTGGCAGCTGTAACATCTGTATATAACAGAGCCTTTTACCTGCTGATGTGGTGCTGCTTGATGATGCTGCCCCCTCTGCTGGAGCTCCCCTCACTGATCCAGTTGATCTGCTGGTTGGTTGCTTCTGGTTTTTGATGTTTTGCTTTATTGATCATTTGTTGAGCAACATTTAAACAGCCGTCCCAGTCTTTCCTTTTATGTTGCTCGTGATTTCTTTAGTCAGAGTTTCATTTGCTTCTTTCCTCAAAAGCTCCTCCAGAACCTTTTTCTCTTCTTCCAAAATCAGTTTGTAGTAAAAAGTTTTCTTGTTGCACCAACTGTATTTTTCTTCAAACCATTTTCTCCACCCACTCCAAGTCATGAAGAAAGCGACAACAGTCATGCTGAGGAGCAGAGAGTAAGCAGCAAGCTGAAAAAGAAGCAACAAACATGCAAAATATAACAGCATTAATGTGTCTGTGTATTTATTATACTTTCATAAATTAAAAAGAAAACGTAACAGTACAATAACATTACATATTCACTGAGTACATATGCACATCCTCACCTTTGACTTCATTTGCAGCTCAGTTATTTGAGCTGTTTCATCAGCCGTGAGACCCTCAGGTTCGCAGAACAGCTTCCTCTTTTTTCATCAGTGGTACAGCAACTATACCAGTCTGTGAAAAGCAACACAGCTACAATCCACAGCAGACTGATTAGAAACGCTCTGATAACGCGCTTGAGTACAATGCATAAAAACGTGGATGGATGGTCCGCTGTGCTCCGAAATGTCTGGTCTATCAGGAGCACCAGGAAAAATACTAAAAAAACAGGCACGACCACCATTTCATTGCAATCAAAAGTGTGGCCTGAGCAAGCGCACATCTTGGCTTGCAGATACATAAATGCGAAGAAAATCCCAAAGCCTGTGCCAGTGGTGCCGATTTTTCCACTACGGACATATTGCAGGAGTTTATTCAACATCTTGAGCAGTTCGGTGCCTGCTGAGGCTGCAGCTTCTGACCTGTAAAATTACAGACACAAGACAAAAAGAAATATTTCCTGCTTTTCACACCAAGTATCACAGTCTCTTTGAAATTCAGCTTAATATCTCAGTCCTATAGCAGCTGTGAAGTGAGCAAGTCCTCCAGTCAAAGTGATGATATGAGCTCTCTGCTCCCACCCTCACATAAGAACCACGAGTGCTGCTCCTACAGGTGGCAGGATGCAAACGCAACGTGACGTCATGAGAAGGAGTTTAAACAGCACTCTGTTCAAAACGTTTCCAATGTGGTGTCAACAAATTTCATGTTTCCCAAACACTTTATACTATGATGAGGTTGTGTGGCACGACAGGTTTTTTGATGAATGACTTGGAATGATGAATTCTATCAGCACAACAAATACTGAGTATTAGGTACTATGAGGTACTAACACTCATTTAAATAAAGTAATTTGGTCTTAGATTCCGTTAGTTATCATAATCCAGGCTTCATAACATTTCTGTTTTTTTATCAGTTTATTTTTTCAACTGCATTATGACTAACAACGAAAAATCTCCACAGTTTGAAATGTAGAGTGTTACAGATACAAAGTGAATTTATGTTATTTATGTCATGAGATGTTAAAACGTGTGGTTAACACAATTTAGTCACCACAGCCTGTGGAGTCTACTGTAAAGAGATGGAAATGGCACAACCAACTTTTTTATTCAGTGTTGAAACAAAAAATGTCAAGCAAACATGAACAAGAGAGGTGAAGAAGAAAAAGAATGCAAGCAGGGTGGAGTGGGTGGAGATGACTGCCAGGGGTGATTTGTGGCAGAACAAGTAAGATAAGATAAGATAAGATAAGATAGAACTTTATTAATCCCTCGGGTGGGTTCCTCTGGGAAATTCGACTTCCAAAAAGCACAGCAACGACCGAAGTTACAGTTACAGAATTGTTATATATATATATATACACACACACACACACACACACACACACACACACACACACACACACACACACACACACACACACACACACACACACATATATATAAATACAGAGACAAATATAAATAAAATATACAAAGGGGATAAATAGAATAAATAGGAATAAAAATAAAAATACAAGTGAATTGCACATTTCAAGTATTGAGTCTATTGCACTGTTGACTATTTACAAAAGTATTGCACAAAAGGTATTGCACAGTGAGGTGAAGAGGCACTACAGCTTAGTTGTTCCCCCCTCCTTTGTCCTCCTGTTTCCCCTCCCTCTCCCCTCCAGAGAGGAGTTAAACAGTCTGATGGCGTGTGGGACAAAGGAGTTTTTAAGTCTGTTAGTTCTTGTCTTGGGGAGAAGCAACCTGTCACTGAACAGACTCTTCTGATTGTTTATGGCCGTGTGCAGAGGATGCCCAGCATTGTTCATAATGTCCAGCAGTTTCTTTAATGTCCTTTTCTCTGCCACTGTCACCAGAGTGTCCAGCTTCATGCCGACCACAGAGCTAGCCCTCCTGATCAGTTTCTCCAGCCTGGATGAGTCCCTCTTTGCTGTGCTGCTCCCCCAGCACACCACAGCATAGAAAAGTACTCCAGCAACCACCGACTGGTAAAACATCCTCAGGAGCTTCCTGCAGATGTTAAAAGACCTCAGCCTCCTGAGGAAGTACAGTCGGCTTTGGGCTTTTTTATACAGGTGCTCTGTGTTGCATGACCAGTCCAGTTTATTGTCCACCCACAGCCCGAGGTACTTGTACTTGTTGACCACCTCCTCCCCCTCTATCTGAACCGGCAGTGGACCTTCTCTGGACCTCCCGAAGTCCACAACCAGTTCCTTAGTCTTTGAGGTGTTGAGTTGCAGGTGGTTTGTGTGACTCCATGCGACAAAGTTCCTCACCAGACTTCTGTACTCCTCTTCCTGATCATCCCAGATACACCCCATGATGGCCGTGTCATCTGCAAACTTCTGAATATGGCATAATTCAGAGTTGTAGCAGAAGTCAGAGGTGTACAGGGTGAAGAGAAGAGGGGAAGTGAAAGTTTACAAGATGGCAGTGAGACCAGCTGTGATGTATGGTTTGGAGATGGTGTTACCGAGAAAAAGGGGCAACCACAACAGCACAAGAAGACAAATGTTTCCTGTATTTCATGCAAATTAGTAGTGTCCATGTTTTTTGTTACAGCAAATGTTTCTAGGTCTGGTGGACCCACTGTGGCTTTCGTTTTTAAATCAAAGAAGCCTAAAAATGCATGTAAAAATATAGTAACTGAGAAAAAGATATTAGATTAGATTAGATTAGACTAGATTAGACTAGACTAGATTAGATTAGATTAGATTAGATTAGATTAGATTAGATAGGACTTTATTAATCCTTCAGGTGGGTTTCTTTAGGAAATTCTGACTGTCAGTGTTTTGTGACCTTCTAAAATCATACTTCAGACTTTCGCTTGTGGTTTAATGTCCTTGAGACTTTGTCACTTCTGAAAAAAAGATATGAAAATGGAAGCACATGTTGTCCTAAAATCTATTCGTATATACGTTAGAGCACTGATGGTTACAGAGATACAACATGTGCAAAATGAATGTCAGATCTGCCAGTTTCATAGGCACTCACAAACTCTGACACAATCAGAGATGCAGGATTTTGTAACTGAGCACTGATGATAAACTGGATGGTCTCTCTACTCGTTAGTTCAGAGCACATGGTATACATGTTTTCCAAAATGAAATTCACATTATAATTCATTCTTCCACAAAGTTTTCAACTTTGCATCAATTCACTTCCTGCCATTTTTCTTTACTCTCATATCATTTTTGACTGCTTACTCTAATTACCAGTCCATTTCTTACCATGTTCACACCATCCATCCATCCATCCATCCATCCATCCATCCATCCATCCATCCATCTTCTTCAGCTTATCCAGGGCCGGGTTGCAGGGGCAGCAGCCTAAGCAGAGAAGCCCAGACCTCCCTCTCCTCAGCCACCTCCTCCAGCTTGTCCGGGGAACACCAAGGCGTTCCCATGCCAGCCGAGAGATATAATCTCTCCAGCGTGTCACCGGGCCTCCTCCCAGTGGGACATACCTGGAACACCTCACCCAGGAGGCACCCAGGAGACATCCTTGTCAGATGCCCAAACCATCTCAACTGACTCCTTTTGACTCTCCCTTCTCTAAGGGAGAGTCCAGGCACCCTTCAGGGTAAGCCCATTTCCACCACTTGTATGCGTGATCTCGCTCTTTCGGTCACTACTCACAGCTCATAATCGCTCAGCTCTCTCTTCACCATGACGGACCGGTAAAGCGTCCGCATCACTGCAGTTGCAGCACCAATCCATCTGTCGATCTCCGGCTCCCTTCTCCCATCACTTGTGAACAAGACCCCAAGATACTTAAACTCCTTTATTTGGGGCAGGAACTCGTCTCTGAGCCGGAAAAGGTTCTCAAGGTTCTCTTTCCGGCTGAGAATCATGGCCTCTGATTTGGAGGTGCTGATCCTCATTCACACTCAGCTGCGAGCTGGAAGGCATCAACCGATGATGCCCACAGAACCACATCATCTGCAAAAAGCAGAAATGACATTCTCAGACCACCCAAGTGAAAGCCTTTCAACACTTGGCTGCGCTTAGAAATTCTGTCCATAAAGATTATGAACAGCATCAGTGACAAAGGGCAGCCCTGGCGGAGCCCATCACGCACCGGGAATGAGTCCAAGTTATTGCCAGCTATGCGGACCAAGCTCTTGCAACTGTTGGCCTGTAGCAATTGGCCAAACACCCCATACTCCCACAGCACCTCCCACAATACACCCTGAGGGACACAGTCGACAAAACACAAAGACATGTGGACTGGTTGGACAAACTCCCATGCCCCTTCAAGTATCCTCGAGAGGATAAAGACCTGATCCAGTGTTCCACGACCAGGAGGAAAACCACATGTTCCTCCAGTCCAGGTTCGACTAATGGACGAACTTTCCCAGGGAGGCTGAGGAGTGTGATCCCCCTGTAGTTGGAACACACCCTGCGGTCCCCCTTCTTGAAAATGGGGACCACCACCCCGGTCTGCCAGTCCAGAGGTACTACCCCT